AAAATGAAGTTTTTGATTTTATATATAAAATTATTGTAGATCTATTATAGTTTTTTGCAATTTTAAAAAAAATAGTTTGAAAAAAATTACTAAACACACAAATATTTAGAAGTACAATACGACTACACAAAAAAGCTCTTGACCGCAATCTCAAACGCACCTTAGTTAATTAGAATATGTATTTTTTTTTTATTTTAGTTATACAATGGGAGGCAATTATCTCTCATTTTTTATTCCACCCTATTCAAATGTTATACAACTTAAATTCAGAACCTCTTATTTCTAACAAAAGGAGATGATCACTGAACTACTTAGAGAGTTGACAATTAGAATATGTACTTCAAATAGGAAAGAGTGCATTATTTTGTGGTTTGGGATGGAAAGTCCTTTGATCTTATCATTCGTTTTTCATCAGAAGCAATAATTTACTTCAAATTGGATTACAGACGTTTATAGAGAACTGATTACAAAAGGAATAGCAAAAAATGACTTATACCTTGAATGAATCACAAAAATGCATTCACAAATGTGCAAAAAGAATTTCTTTACTAATTTTAGCTACAAACCAATAATGTCTCCCTACTCTTATACCTCTCAGGTTTGCGTAATCAACTTTGCTAGGACATAAGAAACTGTTCATTGTGAACTAGTTTGAAACTTATCTAAGCTACTGTGTATGGGAAAAATCTTATTAAATTGTAGATAGATGCTAAGGAGGCTGTTTCTTAGCAACAACTGATCTTCTATTAGCTCCACTCAGATTTGTCCGATTTGACGCAAAGTTTGGTTATTTTATTTTATTTAATTGTGACTTCTCAAGAATAATACAGTAGTTTGATTTGTCATAAAACTTGTTGACAACCACTGCATTGTCTCTTCTGGATATAAGCCTGCACAAGTTTATATAAAATGAATAAGAACTAAGCATCTAAGAGTAGATACAAGAACACAATCTATATTATGAGCTTGCACAAATTAATACAAAATGAGAAATGTACACAAGAATAGTTAGATACAATATCTAAACCTAGCCTTTGCTATTGCATTCTCAAAAAACAAATGGAATACAATAGGCTTTTACTAGTTCCATATACAAGAAATAAGATTGGTAATTGGTTCTACCTTGCCAAGTCACCTAAGCTTCTTTAGTAGTGCCAACTTTAATGTAAATTTGGCCTTTTAGATGCTACCTCTGTAAATCATCCTCTTTCCCCTAGTCACTGATAAAGCCTTTAAACGTATTAGTGGTGCTGGAAAGACATAACTTTTAACTACATATCTAAAGACCATAGCAACCGTTTTAGTCGCTCACCAATGAAAAGATACTATCAAGGTGACTATTATGAGTTCTTATTAGACACTGCCATCACTGTTTTGAAATTCGACCTCACTTACTTAGTTCAATTTGTTGAATTAGAATCAGATCTAAAAATGGGTTGGGTGATAATAATAATTTATTTTAAAGTCAAATTCGGTCAAAATCCATTTAAACTCAGTTAAACTTGCTCAAACCCAATTAAATCCACTCAAATTTGGTCAACTCGATTGACTTGACTAGTTCAACTTTTTTTTTTAATATTTTCACTTTTTTCATTTTTCTTTAATTTTTATATTTCTATTTATTTAATTAATAGATAATATAATAATTAAATTGTAAAATATATTTAAAATCAAATCACAATTAATGAATGAAAAATTTTAAATTAATTTAAATGTAATTTGAAATTAAATTACTATTTCTAATTAGAGAGTGATTTTAATTT